GTAGGAGCAAAGGACGCTACTAGGGGCTCCTGGCCTTACTAGTAGGAACAAGAAGCTACTAGTAACAAGAAGCGAACGTCCAACAAATACCGACAGGCCGCAACTCTGCCTCCAAAGCTTGGACGCCACCAATCCCACAAGCCCCGTCTCCCCAGCGCCCAGCTCCAACACACCGTGCTCAGAGGCAGCAGTCAAAGCAGAGCTCAAAGCGTTCAAAGTACTGCAGGGCATCGGGCACTGCAGAACTTTCTCTAGCTTTGGGTCGGAAGAATTGAGCTTCACCAGAACACCTGAACACACTGGAATTGTCATTGAACTCGAAACTTGTTTTGAACTCTCAGCATCAAAACACATACACAAGAACTAGTAAGGCAGAGCTGACGACTGAATCGCACGATCTTCGCGTTTTGATGTAGCTTGCACGCTGAAAATACTGCGTTTATTAGACAATCGAAAACAATACAATTTATGTTCGTTCCGGCAAGTGAGGAACAACGAGCCTTTCAAGGCCAGAACAACTTAACATCGTGAAAACTGTGAAAACGATAGAAAGGCCTCCAGCTTACTAGCGATGGCCTCCTGGCGATGTCCCACACTCACACAACGGTCCTCTGAGAGTGTGGAGACGCACGTCTGGCTCAGACTTAGGAAACCAACTTGATCATCCTTAGACCTTATCTCTGAACCTCTCTGAACCCGTGATTTTCGTCCTGTAACATTGTAGACCTTCCGATTGTTCTTCCCTTTCTTTCGTTTCTGCCTTTTCAGTTGGCCAAACAATCCATCTTTGCCAAACCCGTGTTTGTGACCGAACAGAGAACCACGCGTCGCCCAAACCGGCGAGAACCACGCGCGTCGCCTGCCAGAACCACTGAGGCGTCCCAAGCGACGCAGCCGGTCCGGCGCGATGCCTCGGTGGGGCTCTTGGCCAGGGCCGCTGGTTGCGCTCGGCATTGCCCTCGGACGAAGTCATCGGGGCGTTGCCTCAAAGAGAAGTCTAGACCTCGAAAGGACACAAGACAGGAGAAAGAAAAAGGAAGAACGAAGAAGTTTCTTAAAGAAACTGAAAGGTTAAAGAAACAAAAAGAACCAAGGCAAGAGTGGCAGCAAGTAGTTTCTGAAAAGAGAATACAGTAGGCCCAAGCAAGTGTTTAGGGGGTACGAGTAGCACGAAAGCAGGCAAAGTTCAGACTTCTTCAAGCAAGAAGATTGATTCTGTTCCTAAACTTAGCCTTAAACTTTGTTTGTTGCCTTTTTTGACCATGCTTCTTTCCTTTCTTCGTTCAATTGTATAAAGATGTGCGAAAAAGAGCGCTTGGAAGAAGTGAAAGATATTTCACTCTAGGGAAGCTCAGGCTATTCATTTGGTTCATAGATTTATTTCAAAAAACACTACTCTCGCCATGGTTTTTCTCCGCACCTGGCCCAAAGCTCACATCCAGCAACATTGCGGAGGGTGCTGCTAACGTCTCCTCAAACAAAGGCCGCAACGTCCGGCAAGCCTCCTCCTCCTCTTCCGCCTCTTCCTTCATCTCATTGGGAGAGCATATGGCAGTGAATGGCAGTGAACTATTGAAGAAAGGGCTGCAAAGAAACACAGCAGAAAACATATTTTGTTATTAGACTGTGGGCTACATGCAAATTCAATGGCAAGCCCCTTTTTTCACCTGAGACTTTCTCCGTTGAGCAGTGTGCCACGGTCTGATTTCTGTAGATTGCTCTGCTCAAGTATGGATAGGAGTTGATACTGAACGTGGTAACCCTTGTGAGCCTTGTCACAACTGCGGCAATGCCAAAACAAAAACACGGTTTCAAGTGACCAAATCGCTTGCTGACTGTGCTACTGTGCGTGCCTCACAGAATTTGCAGTTGGTAAAAATGTATGTTTTTAAGTTTCTTGATCACTCAGCCATTAGCATCATTAGCATCGGGTGATCAAATTCAATGGCTAGTCACAGCTCATCCGTTGGATCTTGTCACAACTAAGCCCACCACGCAAGAGCTGCACCCGCACCAACCGCGCGGCCCCAGCAGTGATGCAAAGGACCAGAAAGCCCTTGCTGAGAGCACCAAGCACCAAGCACCAAGAGTTTTGGAGGTTTAAAACAATTTTGTTGAATCTTGCCCAATCAAACCCTCACATAGAGAAATTCAACATCCTTGAGAAACCTCTTCTGGAGGTTTTATCAAGATCTAGCATTGGATTCCAAGTTGGTTGCGTGCAACACGGTCTTCTCTTCTTTTGCACCATTGAGTCATTCGTCTCTCATATCTTGCCAAGCATCAAGGAACCACAAGCTACGATGCCTGGCATCTTTTTATAGTCGGAAAAGGTCTCACCAAAAAGCTGCTTCCTTTTGACCATCAGTCGATAGAGTTACTGTAATGAGGTCAAACGTATCCGAAAAACAAGTCTTACAACACAAACCAAGCATGGAGGCCATCCCTCCTAGGTTGGAGTAAACAAAGTTTCTAGGTTGGTAAACAACATGGTTTCACCTCTTTGTCCCTTTCCTTTTTCCAAATGTGTCTTGGAAAAAATGTTTCCCTTGTTATGGAGGTCTGCCAATGGAGCCAAATGAGATGGTCATGAGTGCTCCATGCGCTGGCGACAGTGCCACGCAGCCCGCCTGGCACGGTTGATCAGCCCCATGGGCCTCAGGATTCCACTGAGCTCTTCGCATGTCTTGGCCCCTTTTCCACCGGGTCAAAGTGTGTTTTTTGGACTAGGAACAAGAAGCTACTGGGAACAAAGGGCATCGCTACTAGGAGCAAGGACACTACTAGGGGCTCCTGGTCCTACTACTAGGAGCAAGAAGCTACTAGGAACACGAGCGAAAACAACTGTTGAAAAAGTCGCCAAATGCTGCAAGGTTTCTGAGGCGCAGGCAAGCATAGCTCATTGTCACAAAGAATGTGAATTGTCTTGGGACAGCATCATGCCTATGGAAACCTAAGGTGTTCAACTGGACTGCCCCTGAAACAGACTCGTGAACTAAACCAGTGTGCTGACCAACCATTGAACGTTCATGAACCTTGGGAGCAAGTGTTGTCAAGAAGGCACAATTTCTACCATCGAACCTGAGCAAATCTCTTGGGCAAAAAATGCGATTGGGAGGCGCACAGTGGAAAATACATGTATTTTCATGGTAGCTATATAAGTATATATATATATATATATATCATGCCGCCTTATTCTCCGCATTCTCGAAGGTTCCCTAGCCTTGTTGTCAAGGCATGCTAGTGGCCACTACAAGCACAAGGAGCGACGGTGTCCAATCGACTGCACAATGTTCAACCAA